AGCTTGAACAACGTGAAGATTGCAAGATGGATTCATTGCGACGAAGCCTGTAGTTACGAACTCTGCGGATTTGCGGATGCATCAGACTTGGCATACGGCGCCAGTCTGTATGCTCGCACGGTACGAAACGATGGAACAGTGATGATGAATATAGTGTGCAGCAAGTCACGGATTCTCCCAAGAAAGAAGAACAAACAGAAAGAAATTACAACGCCCAAAGCAGAACTACTAGCAGCCCTGTTGCTGTCTCAACTCACTGTAAAGCTGTTGGCGGCTATCGAGACCGTTTTCAGTTCTGTCGCATTATGGTCGGATTCACAGATAGTCCTTTGTTGGCTACAGAAATCTTCGGACTCACTGACTGTATTTGTTGAAAACCGAGTCAGGCAAATCCAGCAGCTGACTGAAGGTTTTATTTGGCAGTACATACCTTCGAAAGAAAATCCTGCTGATCTGATATCTCGTGGCGTGTCGCCATCGGATCTTCCAGGATGCAAGCTTTGGTGGCATGGTCCGCCTAGGTTCCATAGCGCACAACCGTATCTCGAGCAACCACTACCGCTATCGCAAGATGAAATACCAGAACTTCGGAGAACAGTACTTGTAACGGCACGCGGGTCGTCCAGGCTACCGACATTCCACAGAATCAGTCGGTATACTATAATTCAACGGTCGATGGCATATGTGATTCGGTTTTGCGACTACATTAAAGGCGGTCGAAAGCAGCTTACTAGAGGATTTCCCACAGTTTCGGAAATGCATCGAGCAGCAGTTTTGATCATCCGAATGGTTCAAATCGAAGCTTTTCACGTGGAGCTACAAGCGATTAAAGGTGCAGAATTACGTTTCAAAATTTGAATCCATTCATCGATGCGAACGACGGAGTACTGCGTGTTGGAGGACGTTTAAAGAACGCAACTGTACCGTACGAACACCGACATCCAGCACTACTTCCCGAGAAACATCCGCTCACCGTCACGCTGATACGTCATCTACATCGCGCCAATATGCATCTCGGTCAGCGCAGTCTTCTTGGGGCAACAGTATTGGCCACTCAAGGCGAAGAACGTCATCCGGCAGGTGGTACACCACTGCATACCATGCTTTCGGATGAGGCCAACGAAATCAACTCAACTGATGGGAGAGCTTCCGGATTACCGCGTCCAGCCTTCTCCAGTATTCTCACACACGGGATTGGATTTTGCGGGACCCTTCAACCTTCGATTAAGTGCAACTGCAAGGAACCCGACGACCACTAAGGGTTACGTTTGTTTATTTGTTTGCATGGTAACTCGGGCTCTCCATCTTGAAGCGGTTTCGGACCTAAGTTCGGAATCCTTCATGGCTGCGCTCCAGCGCTTTGTTAGTCGTCGTGGCCTCGTACAGAAATTATACTCCGATAACGCGACTAATTTCGAAGGCGCTAAAAATGAAATGAATCGCCTAGCCGAATTATTCCGCAGTGAGCAGCACACGCGTGCTGTGAATGAATACTGTGTACCAAGGGGCATCGAATGGTCGTTCATTCCTCCACGTAGCCCACATTTCGGTGGGATCTGGGAGGCGGGAGTTAAATCAGTGAAGTTGGTTCTCGCTGAACATCGATTGACGTTCGAGGCGCTGTCTACCGTCCTTACACAGGTAGAAGCTATTTTGAACTCCCGCCCTCTCACACCTGCTTCTGATGATCCGAATGATCTGACTGCTATCACACCGGCTCACTTCATAATAGGGAGGGAATTCCAAGCTATACCGGAACCCTTGTACGCCCACATTCCTAAAGGCAGATTGTCCCGTTTGCAGTTTTTACAGGACATGAAACAGAAGTTCTGGAAAATGTGGATGAACGATTACCTACACGAACTACAGAAACGCCAGCGAGATATGAAAGTCACCGAATTCAAGGTTGGAGCGATGGTCGTTATCGTTGATGAAAACGCACCGCCGCTGAAGTGGGCTCTCGCCCGCATAATCGAATTGCATCCGGGCAAGGATGGGCACACACGCGTGGTGAGTTTGCGAACCGGACACGGCACCACTAGGAGAGCCGTTAAGAAGGTCTGTCTATTGCCACTAGACAACGAAGAGGACGACAATCCTGTGTAGCTGATGTATTGAAATTGCCAATTTCAACGCCCCGGAGGATGTTGGTACTTAAACGCCCCTCTGGCATTAAGACAACCTACGAAGAATACAGAAACCATCATACATTTTTTTCTTATACACATCCACACATGTAACCGATTATTAGTTCAGAGTAAAATTGTCTGTTGAATCATTAACACGCGTTCTTTTGATTTCGTCCGAAGAAATTTTATTCCACTGAAACCGAAACTCTTTCGATACAGTCCATTTCCCGCGAGTGTCAAGGACAGGCCCAATCTTAGATCCATAGGCCAACATTAGAGCAATTACCTTTATTTATCAATTTTATCTAGATGAACGCGTCATTTAAAATTTTGTCGATTGCTGACTTTATGTATGGGCGAGGAGGGCGACTCTATCTACGATGCAGAAAAGATTGTGTTTTGCTGTTTCTAGCTGCACGCACGCAGAGTAGATAGAAGGAAGATTTATGTCGATTTTGAAGATTTCCTGCAAAAAGATGAAGCACGATGCAAGAAATGAAAGATGATTTTTCGAAGATTGATTCGCTAGTGTGAGATTTTTTGAGCATCTAGAATTGAGATTTAGATATCTAGACTAACATTTGAAAGGGGCGGAAGAGCCAAAATGTAAATAAACCATATTTTGGCACATATAGAGAGAACAGTTCACAAACTACTCGATAAACACGAACAAGTAGAAGAAAATATCACTTCAAATCATCAAAACCGTTTCTTCTTATATGGCGTTTTTCCAACTTTCAACTCGATGATGCAACTGGTTGTTACGCCTTGCACTAGAGTAACGAATTATATTATTTTAATATGCCAAACTTATTGATTCTGTAGTATCTAGTCACGCCCGATTCATTTGAAACGCATCTGATTGTTATTTTACGTGTAAACAACGAACAAAAAGAAGACCAAAAAATCTCCGGGCGTAATTCCACTCTCACAAAATTTGCGAATGAAGAGCCAAGGCGGAACAACAAACAAAAAATCCCGAGGGTGTAGTTCCACGGCGTATCACCAGTGTTGGCAGTTCAAAGGATGGAAGATCCGGGGGGTAACAACACGTAAGAAATTATCAGAGCGTATGATGTTTTCCTCTCAATGTCACGACAAAGAAAGCTTTTTTTGAGTTTTTAGTGATGCATGATGATAGATTACACTATTAACTATATGTCAAGCGTATAAAATCATCCAGAAAATGGAAAGTCGTGAAATAGGATTAATTTTTAGATCATCAAAATTCGGAAGCGATTTTCTCGATATGGTAATTTTGGAGTTCCGCCCTTTTCAAATGTTAGTCTAGATATGTCACCCCCTCGTGTATGGGTCCAAATTAGGGTAATTTAGGCCGACATTACATCCATTTCCCGTAATACAACGGACTACAGAATAGCGGAGTTTAACTGTACCGTTCCGTTTTCACATTTTCAATCGAGTTTGCGCACGGTGAAGATTTGTTCAGCGTTTTTTCAGTTTCTCCACTCGTTCGTTATTTTGCCAGCAGTTTCAAGTGTACCTGCAGAGTCACTTGCTTGGAATAATCTAAAACTATCGTTCGACAATCTGCTAACAACCGAGGATGGCTATTTTGCTTCTGTGGTGATCGCCCGAGTGAATAAATTTCCTGCTTGATTGAGGCAAGGCGTAAAGTTCCAGTTACATAAGCATTAAACCGATACTTCTCCAAACATAATAACAAGTCAACAAGACACAAATACAATGTTCTCCCTAACATGCTTGCACACCAGTTGCTCAAAAGTTCAGAAACCAGAGCCCTTCCAAACAATTTATTGAGCAACTCCTGTTTATTTTTATGCGGACATCGTGTACTGTTTAAAATAGCTGCTTGTAATAATATCATGAAACGTTGCCGGTGTTGTTCCTGACTGTGTAACACGGAAACAGAAACAAACAAACACCCGTGTCACTCGAAGCATTCGGATGAGACTAAAGCACCTCCCAGTAATGCAATTCCGTATAGTTTTTCGCTCAACTCTCTCAGATATAAAACATGAAACTAGAGAAAGCATGGTCTGAAATTTCACCTGCAATGTCACCAAGTTGATGCCCCGCTGACAGATTCACAGCACAACAGCGAAGACGACGACGACGACGCCACCAAAATGAAAACAAGGGGCGTGTGTTCCGCTGCTGTTCAAACGCGCTTGATAATTAATGTTCGAGTGATTATCAGATCATTACAATGGTGTTCTCTGGTTAAAAAAAGAAACGAATGAATTAAGGGGAGATCAACTTCTCAGTTTGGGTCATTTTTCTTGAGCGAGTTGAGTTTGGTTTTGAAAAACATCAAACGATTCTTGTCCAAAGCTATAAGTTTGCACTTCACGATCGAGTGATCTTTTCGTTTCCTTAGCGTGTAAATCAGTCAGAAGACAGAGGGGATTGGGGGTAGACAAGGCAATGACAGACCGGTACAGTCAACGTCTCGTAAGAAGATCTACTTGTAACACGATCCATGCACATTCAGCCAATATTTCCCCACAGTCATCTGTACAAATGAGCGCCCATAATTCTCTGGCCATAATCCAACATTTCAACTCAATTCAATTTAATGTACAAACACACAACCAACTGGCCCTCTCTTTCTGTGGACCCGGTTTGGCATGATCTCGGTAAAGAGTTTAAATAGATGCGGTTGGACGATAATGTTAAGTAGAACATTTCTTGTTTTGTCTGGCTGTCACGTCGTCCTGCTCGGGACCCACCCCGTCCGTCGTGCATGGGCTGGGCATGGTTTCAAAAGTGACAAACTGCGGATTCGTTGCAGCTGGGTGCAACTCTCCGACAGGAATCTATGGCATTCGTGCACCAGGGTGGTTGCAAAAATCAACAAACTCGTGTCCAGCAATCGAACTTTATTACCTTCTCCAAACCATCGATACACTGCTCCCCGAATGCCTTCAGCTGACCCAACTGCGCCCGAATGTTGTCCAACGCTGCCTGCAGCAGTGGCCGGTCGTGTTCGGCGCTCCGGAACGCAGCCTTCTGAATGTCGAACGATTCGAATAGGTTCCTCAGGATTTCCGCCTCCTGGTGGAACCGGATGTACAGCTTGAGCAGATCCACCCGCGTGTTGACGTAGTTCTTCAGCTCGATCCACGTTTGCCGGATGACGTCGATCTTGTGCTGGACGTCGTCCCGCTGGTCGTCCTCCAGATACTCCAGAACCGGGGTCAACCGGACCAGCAGGTTGTTTATTGCGTTTCCTTTGATCTGCAATAAACGAAACGAAGGAAGGTCAGTATGAGAACTGTGTGTGTGTGTTTGCGAAGCTAGTGGATGTGTTTTTTTAATGATGGGTGGCGTTTCATGGAGGAAAGCGTAAAAGTTATTAATGCGGATCATTTAGCTTTTCAGTCAGTGCGGCGGCGAATTGGAGCAGTGCTAAATTTTGGATTTTCCAATTTTGCGCCCCGATGAAATCATTATTAATAGCTCGAGTGATTTCGGTGGATTGGATTTCTTGCCGGTTGAATGGATATTTTTGGAACGGTAACGGAAATGGAAGGCTCTTGTTTCTTGGTCATGGATTTATTATGACAAATTTTTCATCCAGTGACAAACTATGCTAGGTGTCGAAATGCTTGCCTCTTGGCATGACTTGGTTTGTACAGACAGAGTGATTCAATTAATCTGCAACCACAAACGCAAAAAACGTAAATTTCAAAATAGTAACAACGATTCGACTGATGATGTTTTTCAAGAAAATGCGAGTTTTGCGGATGTTGTAAAAAGATCTAGTCGTGCAAATAAAAGTAAAAATATTAGTAACAGTAACAGTAACATTAACAGTAACAGTAACATTAACAGTAACAGTAACATTAACAGTAACAGTAACAAACAGGGTAATCGTAAGACTCGTCCGGTCATTGTGATCAAACCAAAAGAGTCCAAACAAGCTTGCGAAGATACTCGTAAGTTTTTGAAAACTCAGTTTGATCCAAAAACACACAAAATCAGTAATTTTAGAAATGGTAAAGATGGCTCTATTATTGTTGAGTGTGCAACAGGAGCTAATCTACATGATGTAAAAACTGGTATTGAAAGCAATCTGGGTGAAAATATAGTGCTGTTGTTCCCACTTCGGTGCCAAGATTGAAAATAGTGGGCATGAGCGTTCAGTTTTCCTCCGATGTCTTCATTGACTACTTAAAAAGTCAAAATGAAGACATCGCTATAAATGATGTTAAAGTAGTGAACATGTTTGAAAATCCACGCTTCACTTATAACAAGTTTAGCGTTGTAATTGAAGTCGATGTCGATACGAATAAATGTTTGTTATGTGCGAAACAAGTAAATGTAGGGTTTGATCGGTGCTCGATAGTTCCCGCGATTAATGTGTTGAGATGCTTCAAATGTGGATAATTTGGGCACAAGAGCGTGGATTGCAAAAATTGTGAGAGATGCTCTAGGTGCAGCCAACAACACAAACCATCGGAGTGTACGTCAACTGTATTGAAATGTATTAATTGTTTGAAAATGAATAAAGAACGTAAAATGAACTTGGACGTCAACCGCATTTAGCTCGAAATGTTTGCTCTATAGAAGACTTTTTGATCAGAAGAAAAGAAGCTTGCCTTTCAATAAATAGCAGCCAAGTTCCAGGAATGTGAATCAATTCGATTTTTTGTATTTGAATATTGCGGGGTTGTGAACAAACTACGTAGCATTACGTCAGATTGTTGAGGAAAAACGCCCTCTTTTAGTTTTATTATCTGAAACTCATATTGTAGAAAACGAAGCTTTTGATCAGTATAGTATTCCGCGATATATTGTTGCTGCTTGTTTATCACATTCTAGACACACTGGCGGTGTTGCTATTTATGTCAAAGAAACAGTTCTCATTCCTCGTTCTGCTTGCGAATGAGCAACATCAAGGCCTGTTGTCTCGTCACATGGCATAGCTTTAAAAGTGTTTTCACCGCGAAAAGTTTTTTTTCTGAAAGCAGTTTTTGTGCCTCAGGTGACTCGCGCATTACATAAGGAAGCAGCCGATCCTGGCGAAGCCTACGATCGGACTGTCCATCTTTAACCCGCTCGAAGATATCAAATTGATTTTATCGGAGCCATAGTCAGCAGCAAGAGCCGTGTAATACACATCGGCAAACGACAACCACACGGACGGTGTGTACGACTGGAAACAATAACCAGCAGAAAACAGTGAGCCGCCGCACGGACGGTGTGTACGACCGGCATCTATTGTGGCAGAGCAGCAACAGTATAGCAGTAGAAACGGTAAGGGCAAATAGTAGCACGTATCTGTTTTTGTATTCCCATTCCTCTGACTGTTTGCTTGTGGATCGTCTGTCTCTCCCCCAGTAGAATCGTTCCACATAGGGTGGTTCGTTAATAAAAAAAAGTAAAATAATAATTACTTTTTGACGACAATTTTTAATTTCTAATGGATGGTTCAAAGGGGGGCAGTAAACCTCCCAATGATAAACTTAGAAAGCGTCATTATCAGGCGTCCTCTGCCTCGCCTTGGGTTGTCTATTTTCGGCAGAAAGAGAAAGCCCTTAACTTCTTAGGGATTAAAAGAATATTGACGCGTCGTTTCCCGGGGACCGCATTTCATCAGGTCAATCGGAACAAACTGCGTATAACTGCGCCTACATATAATATCGCAAATGATATTGCTGACGACGAGGCTTATAACAAAGAGTATTACGTCTACATCCCATCTCGAGATGTGGAGATAGACGGCGTGGTCTCTGCAGTGAGCCTGACGTGTGATGACGTGATGGAAGGTATGGGGCGCCTTCAAAATGCTGCTACATCTACCGTGGACGTTCTGGGTTGCAGGATATTGTATTCAGCGACCACGGTAGATGGTCAAAAGACTTATTCCCCTTCAGGCTCACTACAGGTGTCTTTCGCTGGATCGGTTCTCCCAAAGTTCTTAGAAATTGAAAATGTTTTTTTCCCGGTGCGACTTTTTGTACCAAGGGTATATAATTGTACCAACTACAAAAAGTTGGGACACACAGCTGCTTTTTGTGACAACAAGCCCCGTTGTGGCAAATGTAGCCAAGACCACATGGAGGGTGCTTGCCAACAGGAAGCAACTAAATGTGCTTACTGTGGCAAAGAACCTCTTCATGCTTTGCAGGACTGCCCCGCGTACAAGAAGCGTACCAACAATGTGAAGCGTTCAATAAAAGAACGCTCCAAGCTGACGTTTGCAGAAATGGTTAAGTTGCAAAATGGATCCTCTGCTTCGTTGGCATCAGCCGCTCAAAATGAAAACACTTTTGAGATTTTGTCTTCCGATGAACTGGACTCTGACATAGCAGATGAGAGTGAGTCTCCGGAGGTACACGCCCCCGGTAAAAGGAAGCCGACTAGCTCCCCGGGAGTGCGCCGGAAAAAAATAAAACCACTCTCAAAAGCATGCAAAAATCTGAAGGTAGCGGGGATTCATTGAAAAACCCGAACAAATCGGTAATTGCTGCTCCATCTGATCCTTGCTGCAGCTTTTCCACCCCGCCGCTACCTAATAAAGGTAATCGTAAGAGGTTACCAAAAATAAACACCACGTCTACTCGCAATTCAAAGAAAACTCTCCCGTCCAAGCGAGAAAAGAGTAAATTTAAGGACATTGTGGATAATATTTTGAATGCCCTCGGCTTTCCCGACGAATCGCCACTTCGAGGGCTTATTGACCTGCTTGTTCCTATAGTCGGAAACTACTTCAAGCAATTGACTGCATCATGGCCCCTCATTGGTGAATTCATATCTTTCGATGGATAATTCGTCGAGTGAGGATCAAGATATGATCACTTTATTACAATGGAACTGTCGTAGTTTAATACCTAAATTAGACTCGTTCAAGTATTTGATTCACAATTCTGATTGTGATATATTTGCACTCTGTGAAACTTGGCTTTCTTCTGAAGATGAACTAAACTTCCACGATTTTAACATTATCCGCCTGGACCGAGATGATTCATATGGTGGCGTACTTTTGGGGATCAAAAAGTGCTATTCCTTCTATAAAATCTCAATCCCAATAATTTCAGGCATTGAAATTGTCGCTTGCCAAATAAATGTGAAGAACAAAGATCTTTGCATAGCTTCTGTATATGTCCCTCCAAGGACTTCCATAAACCGCCGTCAGCTTTGGAGTTCAGTTAATATCCTTCCATCTCCAGTTCTAATACTGGGCGATATGAACTCACACGGTACTGGTTGGGGCGAATCATACGATGACAATAGAGCGGGTATTTTCTATGATTTGTGCGACGATTTCAACTTGACTATCTTGAACACTGGTGTAGCAACACGTATAGCAAACCCTCCTGCTCGAGAGAGCCGTCTTGACATTTCTTTGTGCTCTAACTCACTATCATTAGATTGTCTGTGGAAGGTTATCAATGATCCCCATGGTAGTGATCACTTGCCAATTATTATTTCAATCAAAAGTGGTCGTCTAAAAACAGATCAGTCAATTCAAGTTCCTTTTGACCTCACGAGGAACATTGATTGGCAAAAATTTGTATCGGCGGTAACTCTTGGTATTGATTCTACCGATCCTCTACCACCACTGGAAGAGCATCGTTTCTTTACCGAGCTAATCTACAAAAGCGCATTAGAAGCTCAGAAACGACGTGTTCCAAGTGCATCCCTCAAAAGAAGACCCGCCACCCCTGGATGGGATGACGAATGCACAAAGTTGTATCTTGAGAAATCCGATGCCTTTAAAGATTATCGTAGACATGAAAGATCTGAGCTTTTTGAAAAGTATCTAAAGCTTGAAAAAAAGCTAAAAAACTTACTAAAAGCAAAGTAACGAAATTACTGGCGTACTTTTATCGAGGGACTTTCTAGAGAAACCTCGATGACAACGCTTTGGAAAAAGGCTCGCTATATGCGAAACCGCTCATCTTCCAATGAGAGTGAAGAATACTCCTCCCAATGAATATTCGACTTCGCTAAAAAGGTTTGTCCAGATTCTGTTCCAGCACAACCAACTTTACGGGATACAGCCCGAAGTAACGGTTCTCTGGATGAACCATTCACAATGCTGGAATTTTCAATGGCACTTCTTTCATCAAATAACTCTGCTCCGGGAAGCGATATGATCAAATTTGACCTTCTAAAAAACCTCCCCGATATCGCTAAAAGACGATTACTTAACCTATATAATTCATTTATGGAATTCAATATAGTTCCACCAGCATGGAGACAGGTTAAAGTAATAGCTATTCAAAAGC